CTGCCAGCTCGGTGGGTGCGTTGTAGGCCAGCTGCAGGAAAGGCAGCAGAGCAGCAAAGGAGGACCAGGGGAGTGCGCGGCGTGAGGGAGGGAAGGAGGGATAGATGGAGAGGAGGGCAGCGCCACCTTGGCCGTGCCGCACCCCCCGTGCTTGCTGCGATGCATCCGGTTGCTGCCTGATGCAGAGCACTCTCCAGTTGGTCTGGCGGCATCATTGCACCCCTTGTATCACTCACATGTGTGTACAGCTTCTCCACACCGCTGAAGCCAGTCGCCCGCTCGTGGTGCTCCTTGATCACTCGGGGCAGCTCCTCGAGCGGCACCACGGGGCACCACCGCCACTCTCCGCTGCGCTTGACGCAGCGGCACAGGATGTCCTGACCGCCAGCGCCCTTCAGCACCTGGAAGAACTGCAGCACCTTCTTGCTGTAGTTCTTGGCGCCGCCCTGCACTGCCGCCCCCCCTCCCGCACCCCGCCGCCGCCGGCCTGAGGGCGCCTGCTGGTCGCCCTGCTTGATCCGGATGATGCCCTCTACATCTGACTTAGTGAGAAACACATTCTTGGCGCCGTTTTGGCGCCGTTCTAAGGCATAAAGGATGACAGGTTGGTTCATAATTTTAAATTTGCGGCAGCTGCGGGGTGCGGGAGGGGAGAAATAGAAGCCTTAGAGACTCTGAAAGGCGAAGGAAAGGGAGGGATCGCGGGAGAGAGCGTGCCTGATGAGCCAGACGAATCGGGGGAGGTGCCACATCAGCGGGCAACAGATGACAGCGGGGCGACCTCCTCAATCATTGCTCTAAATCGTTGCTTCCATAAGCTTTAGCTTCCATAAGCTATAGCTCTCCCACCCACCACTCATCAAAGAGCACGGATGATCACGCCGCCCGGGGTTTGGCTTTTGGACTACTAGAGGCTAGACAGAGATTCAACAAGGTGCGGCGAAGGGCTGCCGAGGGGAGGGGCCTCCAACGGGGGTAAACGTAAGCAACAACGCCGCCGCCGGCAGGCCCGCTGCCAACCACCCGCCGCCACCCTTCCTGTTCCTCCATCTAGGCTTGTGTCGACCTCCTGTTGGACAAGGCTGTGGACGGGCAGAGGCTGGCCAAGGCCCTGCAACTCCATCTTGCCAGCCGTCTGCATCCAAACCAGACGGCGCCGTGACATGCATTCCAATTTTCGCGGTTTCAGCGGCGAGTTCCGCAAGGAGCAGCGAGTGAGCCTGGCAGGTCGCAGCCGCACTGAGGAAACACGTGCGCAGGTGCTGGAGCGCACGCGGCGCGAGCGGGAGCGGCGACGGCAGGAAAAGCTGGAGCACAAGAGCGCCACCACCATCCAGGCACGCGCTTGGGTTGCGCAATGCACCTGCTGCCTTACGGCCTCTGCGCCACCTCAGGCCTTCCTGCCCTTCCCGCACGCAGGCCGCTTGGAAGGGCTGGTGCGCCAGGCAGCGCCATCAGGCTGAGGTACGACAGGAGTGGGTGGCGCGCTACGGCCAGCAGGCAGAGCGTGCCTCCAGGTGATGCCCAGCCCAGCAGTGCTCTTTGCAGCTGCCTCTTTGCTTGAGCAGTGTGGACACAGCGTGTGCCGTCTCACATTTGTGCCTGCCCCTGGATTTTGTGTGCAGCGCCGACTTGGCGCCCGACTCGGGCTTTTTACGTTCGCTCTGCTACTTTGCCAAGACAGAGGTGCTGGCTGACGTGCATCTGCTGGCCGCCGCCTGCCGCCTGGTGCTGACATCGCAGCAAGCATCGGGAGGAGCGTCGGGCGGAACGGGCATGCTTGTGAGCCAGCACCCCAGACTGCTGCTATGCACGTATGCAACAGCCGGCAAGGAGCCAGCAGGCGCCGTCCTGCAACAGTCCCAGCAGCTAGTTGCGCTTTGTTTGGCAGCCCTGGCCCAGCATTCTGTCCAGCTGGCCATGCAACTGCAGCAGCCGCGGGTGGGACCAGCGGCAGCGACAGCATCCGGCACGCCGGTGCCCCCGATGCTCGAGGTGCTGCTGCTGCTGACGGCATCTGACAGCTGGAAGCCGCTAGGGGCGGCATCCACAGACGCCACTGCACAGATCCTGGCAGCTGCCATCGACAGGGGCCTGTTTGGGCAGTTGGCCAGCATTGCAGCAGCAGCGTGCCCAGAGGATGGGCATTCAGGTGGCGTGGCAGCACAGCGCCAGGTGGTGCCAGGCGGTGAGGCACTCGCAACAGCCCTCACCGTGCGCTTCCTCAGCCAACAGCAAGCAGTGGCCAAGCGGCACCAGCGCCACCAGCCGCATGCGAGATGGCCACCCACTGCCGTAGCGGAGATGCTCAGCCTGCCACTGTTGCTGCGACGCCTGCCCACGCTTAAGCCCGTAGCGGCTCGGCTATGGCACCAGACCGTGTCTGCGCTGCACGCTCTTCCAGCGACTGATCTAGCAGCCTGGCTGCGAGCCCGGCATGGTTTGGGCCCAGGGTCCCCAGGCGCTGCAGCTGGTGCAGCGGCTGCCTTGCTGGGCAATCTACTGGAAGGCGCTGCAATTGCACTCAAGGTGGAGGACTCGCAGCAGCTGGCGGCGGCTCGCCAGCTGGCGCTGCAGTTTGCTGCGCTGACATCTTCACTGTTGTCGCTGCTACCACAGCATCCCTTCTTCCCCCATAATAGCCAGGGCAGCGCTAGGGAGGATGATGATGACGAAGAGCAGGCGGCGTTCTTGGCTGCAAGGTTTGCAGCGCAGGCGGCCAAGCTTCCGTGGGATCCTGAGCAGCTGCCCAGCTCGGGACTGATGTCTCAACTGCAGCTGGTGTCGGATGGCGGCCTGCTGCGCGCACTAGTACGCGCCATTCTGCCGGTTGCCAGTGCGGCCGATAGTATCACACAGCAAGGGCAGCTGCACCAGAGGGCACGGGATGTCCAGAAGCTGTGTGGCCTGCTGCAGCAATTGATGGCGCTGCCGGGGCAGCGTCAGCGCGTGCTTGTCATGCTGGCATTCAGTGCAGAGCTGATCCAGCGCCTGTGGTTCAGCTACCTGCGCCCAGCCCAGATGGCACCAGGTGAGAGAGTTGGATTCAGGTCATGCTCACTATTGCGTCGTACTGTTGCAGTAAGCCTGCCTTCAACCGTGCTCCTGTGTGGTTACCAGAAATTAGAGTTGGACACTCACGTGCACTCTGCTCACACCTCCTGGCCGCCATTTTCTTGTAGGCGAGGGCTGGGTGCCATCAGCCGATGCGGCCTGTGACCCAGGCTGGATGCTGCCCCTCAACCTGTTCAGCCTGGCTTACAGCACCTTCATTATCACAGGTGGGGCGTGATACTTATGCTACTTTCCGGTTTTAGCAGTGGTAAGCAGGCCACTTTCGGTGGGCTTGGCTGCCATCTGCCTACCCTCAACTCCTCGCCTCCCTGCACCATCGCATCTGCTCTTACAGCCGGCGACGACGAGCTTTACCAGGCACAGCGCCCGCTGCCACTGGCTGAGCTGCACGATGGCCGTGGCGGCGGCGTGCTGGCGCTGCTGAAGATGGCACTCTGGCACGCCCTGTGGGTGGAGGTCGCCCCCTCTTCAGGTAGGCTGTTGGTGCATTTCACGGCCAAATGGTTGCAGTCCCCTGTTGTTCATTGCTTGTGCTCCGTCATCCGGCAACACTGTTGTTTGCTGGGTTGTTGTAGGCGGCTGGTTGCCTGAGGCAGCAGCGCTCCGTTTGCAGCTGAAACAGGGAGCAGGTGAGCTGTTGCATACTTCACAGGCCAGCCAGTCTACACTGCCCCACAGCATCGCAAAAAAAATTGCTGTGACTTCTCTGCAGGGAAGCTCATGGGGCAGCTACACAGCCGCAATTGCCGCCATGCGTTTGCACCGCCCGAGGCGTTTCAAATAGACGCCCTGCCTGCAGACCGCTTCCAATCGGAAATCCAGGTGTGTATAAGGGGAGGGGGACGCGCAGGGAATCGATTTTCCTTGCTGGCGACGACACGCTAGTGCAGCAGCGGGCATGCACTTGCTGCCATGCACGGGAGCCTGGTTGGAGCTGCTCTCTTCCCCAACTCCAACTAGCGTTGCTTGGCCATGCATCTGCAAACCTGTCTAGTTAGCCAACGCATGTGCTTCCTTGCGGTTGCCAATACCTGCAGGCCGGCACGGCAGCAGGGCGGCATCTGAGCGAGGCGGGCAGCGGGCGGGCCTGGGGCCTGCTGGCATTTGCCCCGTTTTTGGTGCCCTTTCGGGAGCGGGCTAAGCTGTTTCAGGCGGTTGTGGCACAGGTGTGTTCAGGGGTTGCTTGATTCAGCTAAATCAGTTTATGCTGGGCCGCATCGTCAGTATGCGTTGATCCTGTTATTGATTGAAGCAAATGTCCATGCACTTGCTGGCATTTTGGTATATCTGTTCCAGGAGCGTGCGCGGTACCGCGAGATGGAGGTCATGCACTCGCTGGCCCACGAGTTTGGAGCTGCCAACCACTTCTACCCCATCAATCGCACACAGGTGGGTGCCAGGTGCAGGGTGAGGCACAGAAGGGGGTCAGTCCATGAGTTGTTGCGGCACGGCACTCAGAGCAGTGCAGCGAGCGTCATTGTTCCCTGCTCGTTACCCCACAACTCCTGCTGCAGGTGTTGCAAGATGCGTTTGAAAAGCTGAGCAATGTGGGAGAAGCTTTGCACGGACGAATTCGCATCCAGGTGGGTCAGCATGCATCTCCCACGGTCGTTGCATGGCGCCGTTTGGTGGGCAGTCAAGTGAAAGCCTGCTGTGGGCGCGCGCGCCCCCTGCCGCGCCGCCCGGCACCCTTCTTCCGCCGCCAAGGGCCACCACTGCCAATGCACACAAGTCCTGTATTCGTGTTGCTAACAAACAGTTCGCGCAATGCAGTTTATTGATGCGCACGGGCTGGAGGAGGCGGGTGTGGACGGGGGTGGCATCTTCAAGGAGGTGAGGCCAAGGACCACCACTGCCAATGCACACACGTCCTATATACGTGTTGCTAACAAACAATTCGCGCAATGCAGTTTATTGAGACGGTGGTGCAGGAGGGGTTCGACCCCAATGTGGGATTGTTCAAGGCCACCACCGACAACAGGCTGTACCCCAACCCGCATGCACAAGTGGGTGGGGCAAAACCTTTGGGCGAGCCAGTGACCTCGCTCCTTTACAGAACATATGTTTCTATGCTCCCAACTGTATTTCCATAGCGTTGAAAAGTACTGTTCGTTTGCGTCCCCGGATCCAACCTGTTGCAGCTGGTAGTGGAGAATGGGCTGCGCCTGATTGAGTTTCTGGGCGCCATGCTCGGCAAGGCGATGTATGAGGGTGAGCATGCAAAGGACAATGAGACAGTGTGCACCTTTTGCTATATTTCACGGTTCATCCCCTACGTCCTGCAGGTATCCTGGTCGAGCTGCCTCTATCACCTTTCTTTCTTAAACGTTTTGGTGGTGCTTACTGTGACATCAATGATCTGCCGACTCTTGACCCAGAGCTGCATCGGTAAGGGTTATGTGGTAATGGATTTGGCAGCACACGTGTTTCTGGGGAAACCCAGGGTGGAAACCGTGGCTGAACATTCTTGTGCTTTGAAGGATACCAGGCCCCACTTATCCACCCATCTCAATTGCCCGCCTGCCACACGCAGCAACCTGGTCTTCCTGAAACGCTATGAAGGTGACGTGGCAGGCCTTCACTTGACCTTCACTATCACCGATGACGTGTTGGGCACCGCTCGAGAGGTGGGCAGCATTGTTTTCTTGGGTCCCGTCGTCTCATCGTCACAAAGCGTGGTGCGCATTCCCCCATTATCTGCTGTTGTTGAATAATTGCACCCTGCAACCAGCTTTCTCGTGCACAGGTTGACTTAGCACCCAACGGGCGGGACGTGGCAGTGACAGCCGACAACCGGCTCGCTTACATCCATCGTGTGGCCGATTACCGCCTCAACCAGCAAATCCGAGAACCTGCGGCAGCGTTCCTCAGGCGAGCCAGTCATCTGCCGGGTTAAACTTAAAACAATTGGAGCTTTGGTTCTGGGCTGTGCCCACATGCCTGGCCCTTCCTCTCCTGGCTTATATATAGGGGGCTGCACAAGCTGATCAAGCCTGAGTGGGTGCGCATGTTTAGCGAGGAGGAGCTGCAGGTAGGGGGAGCAACCAGGGTCATGCTTGGTGCCAAAGCACATCCAATACGCCTGCACCAAGACCTTCACCTTGGTTGCAGCCCTGGGGTTGCGGGTGCCGCCTGCGACCATTGCACGAAGGCAGAGCTTGGGATGCGGCGGCTGCTTCCTCCTGGTGTGCAGATGCTGATCAGCGGGGGACAGCAGGGTCTGGACATTGAGGATATGCAGGCCAATGTGCAGTATAGCGGCGGGTACCACGAGGTGAGTTGGATGGACGACGTTGTGCGGAGACGGGCCAGCGCCTTGGGATGACTTATGGCTGTGCACCTCACATTCCTGGTACCCCTGACCCTGACACCCCGTCGCCACACGTAACCTGCAGGAACATCCGGTGATCCGTGAGTTTTGGCGAGCGCTGGCCACATTCACGCCGCAGGAACAAGCCAACTTTCTGCGCTTCGTCACATCCTGCCCACGCCCCCCGCTGCTGGGCTTCCGTTACCTGGAGCCGCCGCTGGCGATACAGGTGAAGTGCCATGTGCAGCAGGGGCACTTTGTGGGCTACACAACGGTCACCTGGCTGTGACAAACCTGCCGCCGCTCCCTACTGCTGCAATGCTGTGCAGCTAGCGGGCAGCATGATGGATGAGCAGGCGGTCAATCGCCTGCCCACTGCCGCCACATGCATGAACCTGCTCAAGCTGCCACCCTACCGCACTGCGCAGCAGATCCACGACAAGCTGTTGTATGCAATTGAAAGCGGCACTGGCTTCGAGCTGAGTTGAGTGCACAATTCCGCGAACCTGTTGCATCTCTACGAGGAGCCTGAACCTTTGTTGAAGCAATACGATACCCCAGGGCCGCGAGCGCTTGAAACCAGCCAATGTGGCAATGAATATTGAGTGCATAGGAGCAGTCAGGGAGCTCAATAACCAACTAGCCGTACCGCAGCGCCCTGCTACCGCAGCGCCCTGCACTGCGGTGCCGCTTTCTGCTGGCTTTGGAAGATTCACATGAACCGACAGCATGAGTTTGCTTTTCTCGCCTGCTTGTAGAACAGCTGGCTAGCCATGCTCAGATCTGCGCTCTTGTCTACCAACTGCAGCAGCACAGGCGGCAGCGGAGCACAGGAGCTCAGAGAAAGTGGGGGCGGGCAGCCAATCTGCCGCTGCAGCATGCCGGCCAGCATATGCTGTAGCGCCAGCTTCGCCTGCCCCGCCCGCACCTGATCAAGCTTCTCGCCGCGATCCAGCACGCTCTCAATCGTTTTGTGCAGGATGATCTTGGTCTCGTCCAGGTCGCGCTGGATCTTTGCCAGCTTGTCCGCCGCTTCCGGGTTCTGTGTTGGGTGGCAGCAAGGTGAGAGTGCAGTGGCGTGAGCCACAGAGGTGTGCGGACCTTGAGCTGCCGGGAAAGGAGAAGGGGAAAGTTACAAAGCACCAGCAGGTTGGCATGAAGCAGGCGGCCAACAAGCTGGTCGAAATTTGGTCGTGCTGATCCCGATGGCACGTGCCAATTGGGATCAGCACTATGCACCACACATCAGGCTAACGATGCAGCACCTGGTACTTTTGCAGTGCATCCTGCAGGAGCTGCAGCGCCTGATCGGGCGTGTCAGCGGTGGCTCCACGCCACGAGTCCCCCCGCTGCGCCTGGAAGTCCTCCAGCACCTTGCTGACCACACAGAAGCCGGCGCGGGCGGGGTAGTCGGCGTCCACAAAGGCGATGCCCACCAGGCCGTCCTTGTTGTACACGTGGCAAAAATACTCCTCCTGCTGCACCGTCTGGCGCTGCCCCACCTGCGTCTTGCGCGCCACCGTGCGACCCACAAACGTCAGCATCTCCCCCACAGTGCCTCTGCAGCGCATGAGGGTGAGTGAACGGTAAGCGCTAGTGACATCGGTCCTGGCCCGGCGATGCGATGCGACACGCGCATTTGTGCAGCAGCCCTGGACTCTGCTGTGCATGCCTGCCATCCCCGAGAGCGCCATCTCAAACATCCCACTGCTGCTACTGCCGCCTGCCAACGACATCGGTGGTTAGGGGTTCAGCTGGAGCTGAAGCAGGAGCGTGTGGACGCACGCCACGCACCTTTGGAAGTAGCCAAAGCTCGACAGATCGGAGGCCAGGCCCAGCAAAGTGGGTTCCTTCTCTGGGCCCTGATACTTGTAGAGTTGGATGCTTGTGAGCTTCACCATGGTGCTGCCACCTGCTGCTGCTGCTGTCCGTTCAACTGCCCTGGCCACGTCCAGCGGGCGCTGCCGCCGCTGGTGCTGCCGCAGCCGCCCGAGGAGGCTGTCGACTCGCGGCTGCCGCCACTGCCTGCTGATGCTAGATGCTCGCCCGGGGGGTGCTGAGGGGCTGCAGGGCAAGAGACGAGAGGTTGCGGGGTTGGCTCGGGGCGGCGCTGCAGTAACACTGGATGCGGTTGACTTGTCTGTCAGTGCACCAGCACCCTGATACCAGGGCTTGCTGCCGGCCTGCGAGTGGTTGTTCAGCAACGGAACATGGAACGCGCCTCGTGTGAACGCGCCTGGTGTGACCCCCGATGCCAGACGCCTAGGCTCTAGATGAGAGGACAGGAGTGACAGGAGGTTCGCACAATGTCCTAGGAGTGGGGAGTGCCGCCGTGTCACGGTGTCCACGGGGTACACTCATCATCGCTTGAAGCCCTTGTAGGTTGCTGTGCACGAGAAACACTGTGCAGCCGATATCAGAGGTTTGCTTTCGTCACAGGTTCCACACGCACATCCGACATGCCGTGCGGGCTGTGCGCGACCAAACCAACGCTGGAACTTGCGGAGCCGCTGCTGGTGCCAGGGTGCGGTGATGAGCCGCACGGCCTTGCGGCGGCGGCAGCAAAGGGTGTGGTCTGCTCGTGCCTGTCCACAGCAGTGGCGGCGGCGGAGCACGAGCAGCGGGCACGGGAGCAGGCACGGGAGGCGGGAGTGTTCCTCATGCGCCTGGAGGCCGAGGCGCGGCGCAAGGTAGGAGCACTATGCCTTCACCAGCAGGCGATGGCCGACCGGTTGCGGGCCAACCATGAGGCGGCCATCTTCCTGCTACGCCTGGAGGACGAGGCGCGGGGCAAGGTGGGTGCCAATATGATCAAGACTGGATCCTGCAACCTGCCCCCGACCCTCCTGGACCCTTTGCTGAAAACGCAGGCGGCACGGCAGAACCAAAAAGCCGTTCAGGTTAAATGGAGGGGGCTGAGCAGGCGACATCACGACACGCGCTGTCGGATGAAGCACCGCGTGGTACCACTGGTCACCTTGTTTTAGCCGCATACGCCGCATGTGCTAGCCCAGGTGGCTGTTTTGGGGCGCCAAGGTCTGGCGCTTCTGGCGCGATGCGTGATCTGTTGCTCATCTAGTTCCCTTGTCCTCTTCCATTTCACATTCCATGTGAGATTTGGGGTGCCCTGGCGCTGGCAGGCCAGGTGAAAGCCAGGCAGCCACCGTAGTCACTCAGGTAGGTCGGGCATGTCAGAATCGTCGCTGTTGTGCTGCTGCTGCTGCTCTCCCTGAGTGGTATCTGATGGCTCGAGCTTGGCAGCACCAGCTGCCCGCGGTTCCACGCTCGGTTTGTCCTCCACCTGTTCCACTTTCACGCCAGACGCTGTCCCCAGGACGGGCAACGGACGCCCTGCACCCTCTTGTTGATTGGAGCCGCTGTGCCTGGCTGCCAGCGCCGCCGCCACCTGCTGCAGCTGCTGCTCAGTCATGCGAACCACCTGCGGCAGCTTGCTGGGCGGGTTGCGCAGCATCTTGTCGTTGCTGCTAGGGAGGGGCTGCACTTTGCCCATCGCCAGCTCCTGCAGGGGCGAACGCCAAGCCAGGGGAACATGGTGGGCCTGGGTCAGGGCGCCAGGCTACTCGGGGGGGCTGCCGCTCCATGGCCGCCCCCACCCTCCCAACACACCACCCCACGCATGCCTTGGTGGCGATATCTATCCGCTCTTTCATGCGCCGCATGATGAGCGTGTGCGCGTGCCAATCCAGCCCAAGCTCGTTAACGGTAGTGCTGATGTAGTCCTCGCAGGCGGCGCGCGGCGCCGACAAATCCCATAGAGGCTCGTCATAGAAGATGGACTCCAGGTGCGGCATTGACACCCGCAGCTGCAGGACCGCCGTGCAAAGGGAACGTAAGTTGTGCTGTGAGCCCCAGCAGGCAGGGGTGGTAGACAGCAACCGGCCTCTGGTACACCACACGGAATGCGTCCCAACCTCCCTCGCACCTCGAGCTTGACCAACGCGGGCGCTGTGGGCGCGGTCGACCGGTCAATGTGCCGCTCTAGCAGCTTCTCCAGCTCACGCTGCAGCCGCCTGCAGCTGGTGCAAGAATTGGCTTCAGGCGGCTTTCTTGCGGCACAGGATAAGTGACGGGAGCAGCCAGGCCACACTCACAGCCCTAAACCCTAAACTCACAGCGCTTCGCGGTCGAGCTGCGCACCCTGGACATGCTGCTGGCAGAAAGCGCGAACAATGGGGCCGCAGGCGTCGCTCAGCCTCCAGAGAAGTTGCTGCAGAGAAGTTGCTGGGAGGTTCATGGCTTTGCGGCACCCGGCTTTGCGCACCCATCAAGCACCTGCACCCGCCCGCTCAAGCACCTGCTCCGCTCCAGCACGCCTGCCGCCCTCGCCCTTGCTGCCGTGGTCCAAATGCAAGTAGAGGGGAAGAACCAGTGCAGGCCGCTTCATTTCTGCTGACAGCAAGCCATCCTTATCACACTCGAGCGCAGCAATGGCAGAGTCTGGCTGGTAAAGTGCACGGTCCCAGCCCCACCACTTCACGCCCAGCGCCACTTCACGCCCAGCGCACCCGTATGGCCATGCATGGGTCATCAATGCACCATTCTACTGTTAAACTCAACTCAAGCGAATGCTCATGCAGCTGGTTTTGCAGCTGCTTTCTGCTTCTCCGAGCCGCCACCATGGTTCAGCTCTTCGTCATGCGGCAGTGCCTTGTGGTGCGCGGTGCTGCTGGGCTGCTTGGTCAGCTCGCGGATGAGCATGGTTGCGTAACAGGAGGAGGGCAAGGTGAAGGCCAGCCGTAGCGCCAGATAGCAGTCGCTCGACTTGTCAGATATCGGTGCCGGCAGCTGCTCGCCGCGCAGCTCCATCAAGTCGGTGCTGGCCAGATCAATGTCAGGGTGGGAGTAGCGGACCAGCTCGTACTGCAAAGGAGAAGATTTGAAGAGGCTCTGAACAGGGCTAAGCACAGCCGTCCAGCAGGCTGTCTGCATGAGACTTGCCCCAACAGATATGCCGATAGCACACGCCGGATCAACAACTGCCAATGTCCTTTTCCCGCCACTGACACTCACCTCCAAGTCAGCAGGGCGGTGCAACAGGTGACGGTAGGCTCCTGTCAGCTCCATGATGCTAAAGTCCTTGGAGCCGTGCGGTGAGGAGTCGAGGGACACGCCATCCGCTGCTGCCAGCTGGAGGTACACGTCCGCAGTGCCGTGCTGCGGGTACAGCACCTCGGACCCAGGCAGCGGCAGTACCACATCCTCCATGCGCCATGCTCCAGCAGCCGCTTCCTCCACGGTCACCACGTGCACCTTGACTGCTGCCGAAACATGCTCCTCCTCGTTGGCAGCCGCATCTGCGTCAGTCTCCACCACCTCGCCTGCCACGGCTGCTGGCACTCCAGGCCGGCTGCGGTTTCTGGCCGCTGATCGCTGCCTCGCACTGTACGGCAGGACCAAGTCGCCAGCCACCACGGCGCTGGGGCCATAGGTCTGCACCCGGTGCGAGGCAGCCGCATTCCACTGCGGCAGCAGGAATTGAGACATCAAACACCCAAGACGATGAGCACTCTCTGCGGCTGGCGGGAGGGCGACGCTGCTTTTGTACCTACCCTCCCACCACATCCGCATCGCTCCTGGCTTATCACGCCCGGCTTACCAGGTAACTTTGGTAAGCATGGATGTATATTGTGCGCAGGTTGCGTGGCAACATCATGAGAGCATTCAGGAAGCCGTTGGGCCCGTGCTGCTTGAGGCCCTGCACAGCAATCGGTGCAGAATCTGACGGCTATCACTACCCGGATCCATGCCACAGCCAGCGCCCAGCCCACACACCTGTAGCAGCGTGGGCTCCGTGACCAGGAAACGTGGCATGAGGCGAAGCGAGCCCTCCACGTCCCCCTGCTCCAGGTACAGCCGACACGCCTCAGCTTGCTCAGGGCGCGGGCAGTCGTCCCGTGGCGTGAGCAGCAGCCGAACCGCATCCCGCCACTGACCACACAACAGCGCCTGTCCCACCCTGCAGCGCACGCCCGCAATAGCATGGACGCAGTGACGGTGCCCAGCATGCTTGTGCAACCGCAGTGCTCCTACTGCTGGTTCCAGTACATTGAAGACAAACGTCTCCCTGCCCACTGCCGCTGCAATTTAAAGTACCTGTGGGTGGGCACTGCGCCTGTCCCAAACCGCTGCAGCCCATAGTAGTTGATGAATCCTGAGAGGCGTAGGGCGTCCACTGCCGCCGCCACCTCTGTGGCGCTCTCAGCCTTTATGGCACGTAGCACCAGCTCAAACCTGCAGCGTGTTTGTGTGCCGGAAAGGTTAGCCACGCCTCATCCCGGAGGCATATATATATAGGGAAAGCCTGTGAATTCATGCAAATAATATGCTGCAGCTTGCACACCTGTTCCCCTGTAAATCCCCCAGGCGCAGCTGATCGCCCACACACTCAAAGTTGCCAACACACATGCCCCGAAGGCGTGGGTTGAGCGCCGCCAGGCGGGCTGGGTCCAGCTTGAAGGCGGTGACCTATCATGCATGCAAAGGGACCTCACAAAACACAAGCATAGTGTGTCTGCCCGCCCAAGCTGGGGAGTGCAGCACATGCAGCATGCTGTAGTTGTACTGGAGCAGGCCTGCAACCATCAAAGATTGCATTCTGCCCACCTGCTGCACCGTGACACCACGCTTGTCCTTGGTGCCCGCAATTGCAAACAGCTTGTGGCTTACGTGCAGCAGCTTGGCCAGTGAGGAGATAGCATGCTGCAGCAAAAGGAGCACGTTGTTGGTGGTGGTGGGGCCTGGCGCCATGTGGGGTGGGATCGGGTGGGAATGCAGCAGCAGTCCCCAACAACGGCAGCAGCCCCAAGACAGCTTCAGCGAACTAATTCACACAGCAACCTTCATCAGCAGTTCCACGGGAGTCACTCAGCACCATGACTGCACCTGGGAGTCCATGTTCTCCTTGAACAGCACAAACTTGGTGTAGCGCAGGCTGCCACCAGGCCACCCCGAATCGTCCCGCCACTTGCGTTTCTGGCCCCGGCCACCGCCGCTGTCAAATCTGCCGCTGCGACTGCCCACCAGCTGCACCTGTATGCACTGTGGTTTACTTGTCAACGAGCCAGCAGTGCCATCCTGTGCCTCCTGCTGTTGCTGCTGCCGCTGCTTCTGATCATGCGGCTGCTGCGGCAGTTGCTGCCCACGGTCTTCTTGCGCTGCATGTCCCACAGGCGGCTCCACGGTGTTGGTCTCCAGCCGCGGAAAGCCTGGCAGCGACTTGAACAGGAGGTGCACCGCGGTGCGTTGGTCCTTGGCTGCCATGGCTGGGTCCAGCACCAGCGGCTGTGGGGCCGGCTGCCGGACAGTGCCACTGCCGCGTGGATGCTTGGCGGCTGCCTGGTGCTGCAGTGCCTGGAGCAAAAATGAACGCAGCGGGTCCAGCTGCGCAGAGCTAGCGCCGCTGATGGCTGCATACCGCTGCACTGCTACCTCCACCGCCTCACTGGGGTTGGAGGCGGCATTCGGGGCTGCGACAGGGGCTTCCCCAGCATCCGGGCGCTCAACTATGTTGGCCTAAAAAGGGGAGGATTAGGGGCGTGCTCACGTGGCTCTGTGGCTTCAGCGGACGTCAGGTGCAATGGCAGCACTCACCTTGGGTACTTCCAGGCTAGTCAGCCGCACCACACGACCTTCCAGGTCGACCTCATTCACCTTGAAGTCGGTATACCTGGAAGAGGGGCGTTGAAGGGTTGAGGACGGTGGCGGCGGCGGCTGTGGCGGTGGTGGCGACGGCGGCGGTGGCCAGCACCAGAAGCTTCGGCGCTCAGCTCAAACATCGAAATGCAGTCGGTGCCCTACGGCCCCCGAGCGGCGTGCCTGTGCTTCAGGATGGCTTGGAAGCCGGGGCACGAGTTGGCGTGCAGCGTGACGCCCACGGCAGCCTCTTCAGAGCTGGCCGCCATCTCGATGCACAATGCATGCCTCCTTCCTGAGCTTTGGCACACCAAGCACAGCTGGCCGCCAGCTCAGATTCATGTAGCACAAAACACATCAAGGGCCGCAGGTCAATAATACTCCCGACAGAAGCGCCGTGCATGTGCTCCAGTCGTGGGCGGCCTTCCCCGCCAAGAGCCCTCTCGCCCGATGGCCGCCCAACCGCACGCCACTGGGCTGCCCGGGCCGCTGGCGCGCATCCATTCCCGCGCAGCAGCCATAGTTCGAGCGGGATCCGTGGTCAGCGCACCGTCTCAGGCCGCCGTGGAGCTGCTTGCCAACAGCATTGATTCGGCAGCAACAGAAGTGCACCTGGAGCTGGACATCGCAGACTGGGGCCTGCGCGTGCAGGACAACGGGCGCGGCATCCCCGCTACGAGGCTGGGGCTGCTGGGCCGCCGCTTTGCCGCCACCCCGCTGCCGGCAGCGCGGCCCACACTCGGCTACCGCGGCGAGGCGCTGGCTGCCCTGTGTGCGGCTGCACAGGAGGTGGAGGTGGTAAGCCGCGCAATGGACAGCTTTGAAACTCACCGCGTGCTACTGCGCAGCGGCCAGGTGGTAGAGCAGGGCCTGGCGCTGGACCAGAGCAGCAGGCAGGGCACCTGCGTTACCATTCGTGGCCTGTTTTTCAACCAGCCAGTGCGGCGTAAAGCATTGCTGACTGCGGGGTGAGCAAGCAGCGTGGAAGGCAGGAAGTACTCCATGTATGGCACGAGTCGGTGCACGGAACAGTCCTGGTCGGTGCACGAAACAGCTGAGGTCCGCCCGCGCCCTCCACCCCGTAGGCTGCAGCGAGAGGTGGACCGGTGCAAGCAGGCGGTGATACAGCTGGCGCTGCTGCGGTCCCACATTACCTTCACCTGTTTTGACCGTGGGCGCAAGGCATTCCTCCTGCGCCTGCTCAAGGCACGTGTGCTGCGTTTGAGCCAGAGCGTCCCTGCTCCCGGCTTGCTGCGGACAGGCCTGGCATGAATGGATGTGGTGCTGTATGCTTGCCATGCAGGGCCGCTCACAGGAGCAAACCGTGGGCGAGTACCTGGGGCATCATCGGGAGCACATAGCCGTCGTGCAGCCAGTGCCAGGTGCCTTGCACGCCGTCAGTGGTTATGCAGCGCTGCCGCCACAAGGCCACTCCAATGCCAGCCGCCAGCTGCTGCTGCTGAATGGACGCAGCATCAACGCCCCTGCGATCTCTAGGTAGGAAAGGTGTGGGGAACAGGAAGTTATGGGACTTTGGTTTCCAATTGTGCGCACGGTTGTATGGTCATTCTGCTCCCTCCGACGGTGTGTAGGCTGGTGACGGCGCTGTTTCAGCAGCTCTACAGGCCCAACATGCGGCTAGAGAACGTGCAGGGTGAGGAGTTGCAGCAGTTGCACCAAGCCGCCAATCGGCATGCCGCCTTTGTCCTGCAGATCAGGTGAGCAGCCTGGCACGATTTTCGGGGCGGGGCCTCTAGCAATACATGATGCAAGATTGCAATAACAATGCCACTGCATAGCCGAACCTATGGCCTCCTTTCCTGTTCAGCTGCAAGGCGGACGAGTATGAGCTCGCCCATGAGGCCGACGGACATGTTGCACACTTTCTTAGCTGGGAGCCGCTGCTGAAGGCCGTGAGGCATGCCCTTCTGTCGGCTTGGCGGCTGGCGCTGTCCAACACCTTGTTGAAGGAGCTAGAGGAGCTGGAGGCCTGTTACCCGGCAGGCGGCCCCGTTCAGGCAGCCCCAGCAGCGGCAGCCATGCAGGATGATGGGGGCAGCTGCCACTTGGTATCGCTGGCATCGCAGAATTTGCCGGCGGGAAACTCTTTCGAGTTGTGGCTGCAAGGGCATCAAGCTAAATGGGAACTTCCAGAACTGACAGCAGAAGCCAAACCAGCCAACAATAGAAGCAGTGGCAGGCAGCAAGGGTCAGGTAGCGGACGGCAGCTGGCAGGGGCAAAGCGCGCCCTGGGCTCGAGGCCTGTCTGCTACACCAGTGCCGGCCCTGCAGCTGTTGCAAGCACGGAGCATGGTTGCAGCCTTATCGATATGCACCTAGCACAAGAAGAGTCTGACAGCAAGCGAGCGTGTGGTGGCGCTCCCATGCCTCCCTGTCAGGCCAGCTATGGGCAATTGATGCAGGATGCACAGCGCGCAATGCAGCCATGGACGCTGCACTTGATGCCGAAGTGGCATGAGCAAACAGGCTGGCAGGGCTCAGCAGACAGCTGCATGAAGGCACAGATGCAGCACCAGCGAGCGCGAACCCTGCAACCGCAATCGCTCCCAGCATCTCCCCGCCTCCAGCCACCGGCTGCGCCTTCCCTGCAGCAGTTGCCTCTGGACAGCGAGGATGAGGTTTCCATGCTCCTCAACAGCTGGGAACGGGAGCATTGGCAAGAGGCACAGCATCAACAAGATACGTGGCAGCATCCCGGACATATGTGCAGCAGCAGCGAGGAATTGGAGGCGCATGTCAGCAGGTGGGCGGCACAGCATAACACCGGCAGTACCATGCTAGGCCTGCAGCAGGACCAGGTCCAGTCAAGATCGCCAAAGTTGTGGGAGCCCATGCCCACAAATGTGCAGAGCAGTGTGCAGGACGCTGATCGGGTTCAGAACGAGCGGACAGGCGATTCAGCCGACCACGGTGCTGCCAGTTCCAACGATTGGTCACTGCTGGATGGCACCATGGCAGCTGCAGCTCCTCGGCTGCCATGGCGACGACGAGCACAGTCGGCTCCGCCGCAGCCAAGTCGACAGCGGAAGCATGTGGTAACCGCAAAGAGCGGCGGGTGTGCTGCTGGAATGCTCGCTGAGAGGGCCCTTTTCCGGCAAGCAGAGGTGCAGAAGGCCGCGCACGACAACCCTAGCCAGCCTGCAGCGTCTCTGCAGCCACAGCCTTACGAGCAGCCAGGTGCAGGATTGTTCTCGTTTCTGCAGGCAGACACGGGGCTGGACACTTTGCTGGCATCGTGGCGCCATCCAGGCGGCAGATCCTATGCCAGGAGCAGGATGAAGGCAGGCGGTGCAGCGCCAGCTGATGGCGTCCTCTCTCTTACTTCCCTGGCTTCTGCTGCTTTTGCACAGCTCAAGCCGTCGGCGCTGATGCGGTCCGACCTAGCAGCGGGCAGAGCCTTGCAGCAGGTGCAATGCAAGTTCATCCCAGTGATGTGCGGAAGCCTGCTGGCGCTGGTGGACCAGCATGCAGCAGGTGGGTTACACCAAATGCATCTGCAATGCTCCGCTCCTTGTAACCCTCCCTCTCTGGTTCCGTGCATGCCACCCTCCCTGCAGATGAGCGGGTACAGCTGGAGCTGCTGCGTGACCACTTGCTGGGGCCGGGTGGGCAGCCCTGGCAGGTGCACAGCAAGATTCTGCGGGCACCACTGCCTCTGGGCCTGACGGATGTCGAGGGGCAGCTGCTGGAGGCATACCAACACAAGGTGGCAGCCTGGGGCTGGAAATGGCAGGGGCAGGCCAGCGGCGGAAGAGGTACTGCCGATCTCTTGGGCCCGCTCCTAACGCATGTCCCGCTGCTGTGGGGCAGCACACTGACTGCAACAGACTTAAAGGTGGGATCAGGGAAAGCGTCGACCATGACCTCGCTGTTTGGCTACTTCATCCATGGGGGCATTGTTTGCTCTTACGAGGGCCTCGGCGCCCGCCTGCCGCCCCACCCTGCAGCTCTACCTACACCATCTACAAGACACTTGCGGCTCAGGTGGCCTACCAGCGGCCGTGATCCGTGTGCTCAATTCCAAGGCGTGCCGTGGTGCAATCATGTTTGGCGACAGGCTGAGCCAGGCGGAGGTGAGCGGGCAGCCGATCTGTGCAACTTTGAAGCAGACAGAGTTGTATCTATTTGGCTCGCCTGGTTCTTGATGTTTGACTCCTCACATGATTGCTGAAATACTGGTAGCACCCAACGCCTGCAGTGTCAGGAGCTGCTGAACAGCCTGAAGCAGACGCGGCTGTGCTTCAGTTGTGCCCACGGCAGGCCCACCATGGTGCCAGTTGTGAGTCTGCATCTATTGAAACAAGCGCTGCAGTTACGCCAGAAACTTCAGCCGCCGCGCGACATTGGAGGGGCCAGCGGCAAGGCAGCGGGGCAGTTGGGCTATCACGCTGAGCTGGCGGCTTTGAAAAGCAAGCTGCAGCACCTGGTGCGCTAATGGTAACTTTCTCGCATTGATCTTCACGGCAAACCAAGGAGCGAATGTGAATGACAAGCGGCTATTGACATCTGAGGCGGGGCGGGGGTGACACGGGTGGGGGTGGGTAGGTGGGGTTCTAGGTGGTGGGTGGGGTGGTAGGTGGGGTTCTGGGTGGCTGGCTGCCGGGAGAGGTACCGTCTGCTGGGTGAGTGCTGCCGCCGGGTCCTTGCCGGCAGCAGCGGCCGCTCCTCCTGGCGCGACACTCTTCGGCGCTCCTCTGCGGATCATGAGGGCTAGCACCCTCAGTTGTGTCAGCAGCAGCCTGGCGCAGGTGCGCCAGAGTATTGCTGCATCTCTCACTGCTATTGATCAACTCACACAGAGAGCTGAAGTATACGACAAACAACAAAACAGCATTGGCTGCTGCCACCTTGCTTTCAGCATCTCCTTATCACCATGCCGCTGCCGCAACCAGGCCTTCGCAATGAGGCTGCCTCAGAGTTGAAGCGCTCTGTCCGCGTCAGCTGCAGGAAAGCATTGGCCAACCGGGTGCGCAAACCCGCCATGGAGGATGCCTCCCGTCCCCTGCAACAGATGCAGTATCTTAGCGGTAGGGGAAGATCTGCAGATCTTATATCATCCTGCCCTCCCACGTGCTGAACAGGCCACACCTGTTCAGCAGGTCCGCTTCTCGGTCCACCAACCCAACAATCTCGCGGCTCAGGTTGCAGTCTAGGGCCTTGGCATGGTGCTTGACAGCCAGCAGCGCCGCCAGCCGGGCATCCAGCTCGCCGCCACCCGTGGCGACAAGGGTATGGTAGGCAGCTGCCAGCTCCCCCGCCTGCAGAGTTCCTGGTGTGGCCACCTCCATCACCCCCCCATCCGCAAGCTGCCAGCGCTTGGGGGCAGACATGATAGCCAGCTCTCGGGCGGCACGGTCGGCCCGTGCAATGGGTGCAGCTGCTAGCCTCAGCCGGTCAATGGTTTGGAGCAGCTTGGTCTCTTTGGCAAGCAGCGCGCATCGCGCCGCCTGCCGCTCCTCGTCTGAGGCAGCGGAGAAGATGGCATCCCAGGTATGTTGCATGGGCGCAAGCAACCCTGGACCCCCACTTGTTGCACATTTGCACTTGCCAGCCTGGGTCGCTATGCACCCTTCCTGCGCCACACCCACCTGTCATGTCCTGGGCCGCCCCAATCTTGGCCTGTTCCGCTCCCCACCACATGGCCAGCTCATCCAGCAGCAGGTTGAAGTCCTCTGGCGTTCGGGGCTGCATGCGCCGCTGTACCTCGTGCTGCGCCGCCTGCTCCGCTGTTGCCTCGTGCCTCGCCTGCTCCTCTGCATGCAGCTCGTTCAGCTCACGCCTTGCCCGCTGCAGGTCAACCACGCGACGGCGTGCTAGCCATCCTCGCACGCAGCTTTGAATGACCGCTGCGGCGGCATGGTAAGGCTGCTGCAGTGCTACAACCTCGTAGCATGCTGTAGCAGGGAAAGCAGGCAGCACCACAGCGGTGTGAGCGCAGCGTGACAGCGAGCGTAGGTAGATAGGCCTCCTTGCCCGCTCCCTTCAACTGCAGATGGCATGCAAATGAACGCTTCGCGCCACGCACCCGTCACTTCCACTGCCCTGCCTTGTGCCCCGTCCACCCAGCCCAGACGCGGACACTGCGTGCTGGCATCCCTTGGGCACTGCACCCCGCGGCTCCTCACTCGCCCCGTCTGTGCTGTGCTGCTGACTTGCGGCGCTGCCTGCCGGTGATGCCGCCGCCGCTGCTCCTCATCCGACCGCGTCTCGGTCTGCGTGGCGGCATGATGGAAAACAGTGCCACTGCACAGGCTGCGGTAGCCTCCCAAGAAGGGCTTGCTGCTTGAAGCCGCCGAGATGCTCGAGACTGCATCGCCTCTGCCGTCGCCGAACGCGCCATCTGCCACCGCCCTGGTTTCGGTGGGCGGGGCGGTGCTGTCGCCGCCCGTGTCCGTTCCCTCCGCCGCCATTTCACCTGCGCTAGCTTCACAAAGGAGAGCAGGAGGCCGCCAGGCCACTACCCTACGCTAGACACGGGCAATGGAGGCCTCCGACGGCGGCAAGCGGTATCGACACATCAACGTGCGAGTTCAGCCCAGGCCACAGAGTGTTTTCGGGCGCGTCAACGGAGCGTACGGCCGGCATGTACTGCTGCTCTCCGTGCCTCTCTGGCGGTATGCCCACTCTGATTCGGTCGCTGTGGCAGTTCACTTTGCTCCATCATCAGCCGCTGGAGGCAGGGCTCGACCGGGCTTGGTTGATCAGCGCAGGGGGGGCGACAGCAGCGTTGCGGCGGCAGTTTAGAGAGGATGGGGGAGTCGGCGGTAAGCTCCGCTGGCCTTGCTGGGTCCATCAGGCCTTCGATCGCCGCCCCCTTCCAAAGTGCATCGCCGCCTTTCTGCAACTCCCTGGTTGCCCCGCTGCCTTGCAGTATTCCTTCAGCCTCACCACCTTCAGCCCCAGCGGTAAGCTGGTCCAGATCGAGTATGCGTTGGCGGCGGTGAACGCGGGCGCCACAAGCCTGGGCATCCGCGCCACCGACGGCGTGGTGCTGGCCACCGAGAAGAAGCTGCCCAGCATCCTGGTGGACGAGAGCACGGTGCAGAAGATCAGCCTGCTGACGCCCAACGTGGGCATGACTTACAGTGGCATGGGCCCGGACTCGCGCGTGCTTGTGCGCAAGGCTCGCAAGTCGGGGCAGGTGTACTACCGGCAATACCACGAGCAAATACCCGTCGCGCAGCTGTGCAGAGAGACGGCAGCAGTGATGCAAGAGTTCACACGTAAGCGGGGGGGAAGAGGGGGCCGAGCCGGGGCGGTGGCTGCCCACCCCTGCTTGCCTGCAATCTCCTGTGGCGAACGGGCTGGGCCACCGGCGCCTGCCTGAATCGGTTGCCAACACATCTGACTGGACGGGGCATATCCTGTCCGGCTTGGCATCGGCTGTGCCCCATGTACAGAGTCAGGCGGCGTGCGGCCGTTTGGCGTGTCACTGCTGATGGCGGGGTATGATGACAATGGGCCGCAGCTGTACCAGATCGATCCCTCCGGCTCCTACTTTGCGTGGAAGGCATCAGGTATGGTCTGGTTGCCTGGAGCTCTGCACAGCTCACCTCCCTCCTTCTCCTATGTGTCAGACACCGTTTCTGCCTCCTGTCACTCCCCGTCGCAGCCATTGGCAAGAACATGGTGAATGCCAAGACGTTCCTGGAGAAGCGGTACAGCGAGGACATGGAGCTGGAGGATGCCATCCACACCGCGTTGCTGACGCTCAAGGAGGGGTTCGAGGGTGTGTGGAGCCTGTGGCTGTGTGTGCTTACGACGCGCCGGAAGCAGCTGCGCGTTTGTAGATTTTCAGCCACATTGACAGAGCTTGCCAGTGGAAGAGAAAGGAAGTAGAAGTGAAGGGCTGCCAGCCACGCGCTTCCTGTACCAACCGAGAACTGCGAATTTGCTCTGGCCCCGCAGGCGAGCTGTCTGGCGACAACATTGAGGTGGCTGTGGTTGGCGAGGACCGCAAGTTCCGGGTGCTGACGCCGGCAGAGGTGCAGGACTACTTGCAAGAAGTGGAGTGAAGCCTGGGCCGGGATAGCGGGATGGCAGCCCTCAGATCACCTCCAGTCAACGCTCCAGTGTCGATGTTAAGAGGAGGCAGACATCGGTGGTGCACAGAATGAATACAAGCAGCCACCTCTCGATGTGCCACCGGTCCAATTCTGTGCGCCACATGAATGCACAACACATTCACCCTCCATCATTCTGAGGAAAATACTCATGTTACTTGTAACCAAGGCAGCACGCCGCCACACCACCCAGCCCTGGCCAGAAAGCTTAAACGACGCCCAGTCTAAAAACAGCAGGAAAGGGGACACCAAATTGTGCTATCGGCTGCCGACCGCTGCGCCGCTGCCTTCTTTGCCGATGCTGCTCATGCTGGCCAATGCAGATAGAGCCCCACCGGGGGCTGCGTCAACAGCCGCACGCTCGAGAATCGCATTGCGAAGTCGGGACACCATGCTGAACAGCTCCAGTGTGGCGCTGGGAATGCCGCTGGAAGCCAGCATCGCGCCCTCTTCCTCCTCTTCGCTCTCCTCCTCTTCGCTGCTCCGATCGTCATCCTCCTGCCCATGGCTGGATGGAGTGGCATTCTCGTGAAAGCTGCTCACTGGCTCCTCTACCTGTGTCTCGGCTGCCGCCACTGACGCTGCTGCTGCAGCTGCCACATTGGCTGTGGCCGCCGTACTCACTGCACTTAATGGGGCATCTGGACCAGCAGCGGCTTCCATTGGTGCCGCTGACACTGGATCTGCAGCCCCTGGTTTGCCCGCAGAAAGCCGCTCCAACGTGCCCAAGAGCAATGGGGCAGCCCTTGGCCTGGGTGCCACAATGCCATCCTGCTTGCGCCCAGCTGCGGTGCCGTGTTTGCGACGCCGTGCACGCTGCTTCTGCAATAGCTGGTGCTGATGTTGGTGCGCCACCGCAATCTTCTCCAGCGCCTCCAAGACAACCACCTCTGCACGTGCCCGGGCCATGCTTGCACGGAGGTGCACCTGGGCCAGCGGGTTCTGCTGCAGGAAGAGCTCCAGCCCCTCCCGCGTCATGTGCAGCAGCACTACGTGTGTCTTGGCCACTGCGGTCGCCTTCCAGCGCCCCATGAAGATGCGAGGGTCCAGCATGGCCAGGCTGTGACAAGGAGAAGGGTTACAGGCAAGCAACAATGAGGCGATGAGATGCCAGCTAGGCAGAAGCTGCAGGCGGGTGGATGGTGTGCACCAGACCATGCCCATCTCAAATAGCAGGGCAAGGTCATGCGGAGCATGCATGACCGCCAGCAACCCTGAGAACCCCCTAGCTGGGCAGCCCACCCAACCGGCATCCACTTACCCGCCCAAAAACTCATTGGCACTGCGTTCCGACACCAGCAGGTGGTCCACGCTGCCTGCCCTGTGTCAGGCAGAAAGATGGGCAAGGAAGGAAAGCATCACGCACTTGCAAGACTCTCTAGGCTAGAAGGTGCGCCCTGCATATTCAAGGAGCCATAAATGGTACACTAGTACTGTACTTTAGGCATACTCACTTGGCATTACTAAGCAGGGCTTCAGCACGGAGCGTGGCCTGCTGTACCACTGCAGCCAATGAGGATGAGCGCTCCATCTCTACAACAGCGCTGCGGCCAGCCTGGCTGTCTGTGTCTGCAACCTCAGAGAGGGAACAGCAGGTAAGGCCGCAGGATGCGCGCAGAGTGATCAGGAATGAGCAATGGGTTTAAAGTTAGCTGTAGCACGGCATCACAACAAAAAAGTGTATGCTACATTCATTGTCTGGCCACGAAGCACATGCTGCTACCTGCAACAGACAGCAGCAGGACCCACCCGCTGTCCCAAGGTTGAACACACGCGAGCCATGGGCAGAACAGTCTGCAGTGTCCTCGCACCCCAGCTGAATCTGGCAGCTGCCGCTCTTGGTGGGGGTGCGGGATGAAGAGGAGGCCGAGGGCTGGCGGTGGTGTGCATAGCCATGGCTGCCACTGCTGCTGGCTGCTGCTGCTGCTGCTGCTGTTGGTGAAGCCGAGCTTGGGCGGCGGAAGAGGGCAGCGGGAAGGGCGGCGGACAGGATACTGCTAAGCGTGACGGGGACGTCAGCTTCGTAGCGAAGCTCCACCACGCCTTCAGGACAGGAAAAATCGGCAGGGTTTCATCATTGGAGACAATTACGAGGCGTGCAAAAAAGACTGGCTTTCGTGTGTTGTACCTTGCTCGATATAGAAGCAGGTTGATAGGTGTGAGACCACACCCATTCGCTCTCCCGGCTGCAGCAAGAGGGGCAAGGGAGAGGCAAACTGCAATCAGACAGGCTGGACCAACCACTTACTGCACCCATTCCGCGCCGCCCCCTCCCCCCCCGCCCCAAACATAGAAAACAAAAATCAACCATGAGCAACCAGCCCACCTTGAAGATGTTGACCACTACCGGTTGCTGCGATGTGGGCCGAGGCGGAGGCGCTCGTGGTGGCACGCGTGCCCCTGCTGGCAGTACTTCCTCGGCTCCCTTCACCACATCTGCTGGGCCCGCAAACAGGCCGGATGCCAAGCTGCGCCTGGGTGCAGGGGCTCCTGGCAGCGGGGGCGGCTTGTGGCTGTAATGCTGGTGCTCCTGGGGAAGCGCCCCAACTACAAAATCGGCTGGTCCGGCAAAAAAGGAGCGCAGAGTGTCCAGACGCTTGGCCCTCACCCTCCTTGCAGTGCTGCTGGCGGCGCCGCCTGCAGGGCTGGCGCGAGCGAGGCCGCGGATGGGGCTTTCCCGGCTTTTGATGTCGCTGCCAAAATTGGCACTGCTGGTATCGTCTTGCTGCTGCTTCTCCTGAGACCCAGGCAGCTGCCCATCGCCAAGCGTGCCACGCTGGGCTTCTTGCATGAAGCTGCTGGAGGCCAAGTTGGTCACGCCAAAGGGGATAGGTGGCAGCGGCTCATCCGCACTCTGCTTCTGCCCAAGCATTGGCTGCTCTTGCTGCTCGGTCCACTGCCACGAAGCGAGGGTCTCCTGCTCCTGCTGCTGCTCAAGGAGATTGAACTCCACTCTTTCCATGTCCATCATTATATCGCCACGCACCTCCCCCGCCCCCTGGCTGCCGTTGCCAGCACTGGCACTGCTATCCAACTGAGCCTCTGCTGCCGCCATCGCTGCCTGAGGTATTGGCGCAACCTGAGATATAGGCGCAACGGGGGGCTGGGCATCGCCGTCTGCTGATGCTGGGCCCCTGTCCGCCTCGGCCACACTGCTTGGGCCGCCACTGCTGCCCTGCTGATCCCATGACCTTTCAATCATGCTGTCTTCTGCCAGGTTGTGCAGACGGGATCGCGGGCTCCGCGCCAGGCGGCATGCCATGTCATCGTCGCCTGCTGCCATGGTGGCTGCCGCCAGCGCATCCACTAGCTGCGTGCGGCTGCCGCCGGGGCTGCGCGGGCTGCCTCCTGCGGGCCCTAGCTCAGCATGCATTTCGGGAAACACAACTGCCGCCACCTCCTGCAGCCAGTAGCGAGGCAGGCAGATGGGCATGTCGCAGACAAGCAGGGCTGACCCGCCCGTGCGAGCAGGCCGCCCCACAGGAATGGGAGTGGCGACCAATTGAAAGTCATGGGGACACACCTCTGCATTGAAGCTGGCCGGGGAGGGCTGGCCAATGCTCCCCGCCCGCTCGCCGTCCGTGTCACTAGCTGCTGGGGAGCGTGACAGATCAGGCAGCAGCACATGCCAGGCGCTGCCGCTAACCCAGGGGTGCTGCATCACCTGCACGGCAGGCAAAAGGGGGAGGAGGAGGATCCGTTTCAGGGGTGGGCACTGGTGTGTCAGGGCGGGATCTTGGGGTGCTGCCCTGCATGATAGTCTGTGATAGCACACCCTGCCACACAGCAGCGTGCACCTCTGCGGCTGTGATGCGGTGACGGGGATCTTTATGAAGTAGGCGTAAGAAGAGGTCTTGCAGCTCGTGGGAGATGGGCTTGGAGCGTGGATACGGCACCTCCTGGGCGGCCACCGCATCATACAGTTCCAGCACGCTGTCACCCTAAACAAAACAAAAGGAGTGCGAGTTGCAAGAGCTGGCATGGGGCAGGCTGCTCACAGTGGTATAACGCAGTAACAATGGGTAGGCCAATGGTGAGACTGCCCACATCTTACCTTGAAGGGCATCTCCCCAAAGATGAAGAGGTAGAGCGAGACGCCCAGCGCCCACACATCGGCCTGCCGTCCACGGTAAGTCTCGCCGGCGCACACCTCGGGGGCTGCACGCAAAGAGCTGAGCTTGAAGGAGAGGGACATGCCACCAGCACTTGCGGCACACAGTGGCAGAGCAGCAGGTATGGATGCAAACTGTTGACCGTGCACCCAAGCCCGCCCTCGCAACCCACCCAAGTAGGCGGGGGTGCCCAGAGTGCGGTTGAAGGTGTCGCGCCGGTCAAAAAACTGGCTCTGGCCAAAGTCGCCAATCTTGACGGTGCCACTGCCGCTCAGCATCACATTCTCTGGCTTCACATCGCCGTGCACCTGCGGGGCAGGTCCAGAGTATCGCTGTGGTGATATCGGCAAGCCGGCGGCGCCCCATGTGGCACCGCCAGCAGCGGTGGGTACATGCAGGAGGAGGCATGTGAGGTCCCCTCAGGGCAGCCGGGGGCGCCCCCCCCTTCCACGTACCACATGGTTGGCATGCAAATAGGCAAGTCCAGCCGCCATCTGGCGGAAGTAGTACTGGGCCATGGCCTCGGGGAGGTTGCAGTCGGGGGTGAGCGCCCCCGGCACTACCAGCGCCCCCGCCTCGCAGTATTCCACCACTAGGAGCACTTTGCCGCCCTCGTCATCCTCAATAACCTGGAAGGACAAGCGCGGCAAGCCAGGCGGCACATGTCAAAATACAGCAAGCTCGCACACCCTGCTTGCCCACCAGAAACGCTGCACCCCTCACACTCCCGCATGCCCGCACCTCGTACAATGTGCACAGGTTGGGGTGGTTTAGGCTGCGCATGACCTCCACCTCACGACGCAAGTCGGATGTTGGGCTGCCAGGTGTGGCACACGCCAGGCTGTCCGTGCTGGCGGCGGCCTCCGCAGAGGCGTCCGGGTTCCGGCGGCGCCGCGACTGCGCCGGCAACGACCGCGACTGAAGCCGGCTCTTGGCCCCCGCCCTCAACTGTCGTCGGTCAGGCAAGGGATGAGGCATGCGGCAGTGGTTGGGAGCTCGCTGCCAAAGCAGGCGGGGGATCGTTGTGACTCGCATGCCCACCGATCCCCCGCTGCAAAGGCAGGTGGGTCCCAGGCCAACCCGTCCATGACACTCCATCCACGCTGGTCCCACTCACCGCTCGCGTATTGACCACCTTGACGGCATAAAGCGTGTCGTCGCCGGTGTTTAGACAGAGTTTGACCTTGCCAAAACTGCCGCGCCCCAGCGTGTCGACCACGATGTACTGCACAGGGCAAGCGAAACACCGCAGTTGTACAGGTGGCTTATGGCCAAGCAGCTCCCTCCTGCCGCCCACTGCAACGTACCTGATTGAGAAAGGTGGTGCCTTCCAGCACCCCCACCCGCAGCTTGTACGTGGTCTTCACGCAGGCCAGCGGGCGGTGCATCTGGCCCGGTGGCAGCCCACCCCCCGCCCCAATGTGCACCGTGGTGCCCGCGACTATTGCTGGCTCAGTGCTTAAACTGCTGGTGCTCGTGGAATCATCGCATCCAGAGGAGTAGTCCACCTCGCTGCTGGTGCTGGTGTTGCTGCTGCACGTGGCGGGCAGCGGCAACCCCGCCAGCGCCGCCGACGCCAACGGCAGGCTGTCCCTGCCCAGCTGCTGCATCCGCCTAGAGCCGTAGGCGCTCGTGGACCTGCAGCGCAAGCCTCCCGCCCTGGGGGTTGCCACTTGAAGTGCCACCCAGCGCTCGAACTGCATGGAAGTTTTTGAGCCTCACCTCGACGGCCCATTCCCAGTAGGAGGCTTGGCTGGCGTGGACGACCCGCAACCCATGGGTCTCGAGTGGCAGCCTGCTGCGAGGCACCCCCGCTCGAGACCCCTAGGGCTGCTGCTGCTGCATCTTCCAATCGCGGCTGTGAGGCATGCTAGAGGGCCCCCAAGCTTGAAGGCGGCATGTTAAGCCGGCGCTGGCGCTCTATCAATCCCATCTACACAGCATGGACAGGAGCCTTGGTGCCGACAAGGATGGAGCATTTTATTGATTACAATGCACCGTAGATCTTGGCTGCTGCTCCGCCCTGAATCGTGCGTTGCCCTCCCCTGAATCGTGCGTTGCCCTCCCGCAGCACCGCATGCATGTTGCGCCGCGGCCGTGAATACTCGCGATGCAGCTTCACACCTGCACAGCGACACACAGTGCCCACGGACTATAACAAACATACCGGGGCTCATGCATGCAAGTGGTCAGCGTGCATCTGCAGTCCACACCCACCGTGTCATGCCCAATGTCCGTCCAGCATGCCTGAGCTGGTCCCAGCAGTACGTGCACTCACCCAGGAGCTCCTTGAGCAGTCGCACCCGCACTAGGAGCAGCTTCTGGCGGCCGTATAGGTCACGCTGCCGTGCCAGCCAGCGCGCCGCTTCCACCCAGTCGGGATGCGAGGGATCAGCAAAGTCTGGCGGGATGTCACCACTGCCGTGCACCTCCTGCACCGCAGCACAGCGATGTGCAGCAGGGGCAGATTTCGTCGGCAGCTGGCAAAAGGGGCGGAGAAAGGGCGCCACACTGCGCTGCAGAGCGACAGAGACATGGCATGACTGCTGCACAGCCATGGCACATTGCAGCCGACCCACTCACTCGATACCGCCGTGCTGCGTGCAAGTTGTGGTACCACTTCGCCGTCACACCATCCACCACCCAGCTGAAGCTCAGTGCCTCCAGCTGGTGCTGCGCGGCCGCCGGCAGCTGACCGCGGCGGTGCAGCAGGCGCACGTGGTGTACCCACTCCCCCAAGTCCCCCGCATCATGCACCTGCAACATGTAGGAATCAGGTGCAGGCGAAATGGGCAACTATGAGGTAATTACCTACCTACCTACCTACCTACCTACCTGTGTGCCTGCCAGCCACCCGCATCGGCGGCCGCTGTGGGCCCACCTTGCGCGGCACGATGCAGTCGTAGTTGCGCTCCTTCCAGGCCCTCAGCTTCTCCAGCATGCTGTTGAACTCAGCCTCCTCAAACCGCGCAGCGTTTTCCTGCCTGCCAACCGCACGTTCTTTCTCTGCAGGTGCGGCGCTCAGTACCGTCCCCTGTGGCTGCCTGCGCCGCGCAGGTGCTGATGGTGCCAGTGGTGGTGAGAAGGGCCACGTGCGGTGGCAGGCCAGTGATGGCAGCGCTAGCAAAGGCGCCACACGGCCGCCCCAGCTCACACAGGCGCTCATTTTAACCGGTAGGATGTCAACAAGAAGAAGAAGTATGTGAATCGGATGCCTTTGGCAGCGGGCAGTCACAGCGCCGTCGCAGCGCGCCCGGCTGGACGCGTACAATTTCCTGTAATCACCAGATTGCCTTCTTGCATGCATTCCTGAACTTGCACTTGTACCCAGTGTGACAAATGATTTTCTTGACGCTTTGGTGCCCAAATCTCTTGTTAATCTCTTGTTGCTGGAAAAAGAAAACAAGCCGCAATGCAGCATGCAGCAATGACGCGTGCCAACCCACATTTGGCCGAGCAGTTCACCCCCTTCACCCCGTCTTTGATCACTTGGCTGCCGCCACAATGCCGTCTTTTGCCTCTGCACCATGGCAACCAGCACGGCTTGAAAGGAGGGTACCAGGCAGATAGACAGCAACAGATATCAAGCCCGTCAGCGTTGAAGATGGCGTCCATCGCCAACTTTGCTTGCAACCCACCTGCAAATGCGCCACAGAGTGCACCCAGCTGAAGCCGGTCACTGGTGCCGTAGGCCAGGCGGTGCTCGATGTCTGCCATCTTGCTCACAAGTTGAATACGCACGGGCGGCGGCATGCCTATCCGGAACACAAACCTGCAGGCATTGCGGGACACATGCTGTATTTGCAGTGAGGGTGCCCAAGAGCAGGCGCTGCCCGGGCAGCAGTGCTGATGGGAGAAATGCCCCCGCCAGCTGGCTTCAGGCAGGAGGATGAGCAGCAGGCGTAGCGTTGAAGGCAGCACAGCCATCCTCTGCACCCCGCTGGGCGGCCACCATCTCCATCCCGCCCAATGCCCACGCACGGGTGCAGCTGCTGAAGAATGTCCACTAGCGCCACCCCCTTCTGCAATTGCAGGTCCAGCATGTGCTGAAATGCCTCCCCCAGCGGCTCATTCAGCAGCCACTGCGCACAGCGCTCGATGTCCTGCGGCAGTGGCTTGCCCGCTGTGGCATACGCTGCAGGTGGCGGTGAAGCAAGGAGGGAGGCCAACCATGTCAGGGCAAAAAAACAACCATGCGCACAAACATCATAGCGCTTACTTTTGCACAGTGCAGGTAGATTTACTGCCCTCACCCGAATCCCCTGTCACCTCCCCCGCAGACATCACTGTTGACTGCAGCAGGTTGAGCGTGCGCCGCATGTCACCGCAGCCTAGCTCAATCAACGCCTCCAACCCGCCCTGCGTCACCTTGATGCTGCATGGGCAGAGGGCGGGCAGCAAACATTTCTTGGTGAAGAACAGGGAGCGCTGCCAACCCTGACAGTCTTGTCTCTGTTCTGCACTGTATGGTGCCCGCACACTTTTCCTAGCTGCCCGTCCGCACCTCTCCTGCTGGCAGATGTACTCGAGGCGCCCCTTGACGAACTCCCCGGGCAGCGGCTGGAAGCGAAAGCGCGTGCAGCGTGACTGCAGTGCGGGGATGATCTTTGAGACGTAGTTGCAGATCAGGCAGAAACGTGCGTTGCGCGTGTACTTCTCCATCACTGCAGCACAGGCGGCGGGGGTGGTAGGGCACGCGGCACAGCACACTTGAGCGCCAGTTGGGCAGCAGGGCGATTTTGGTGGCAATCGCTGTCACCAACCGCCACCACTGCATCCACGGCCCTCGCTGCACTGTCTCGACTCGTCGCAGTTTTTATTGCCACAGCTGCCTGCACGCACGCACCCCTGCGCAGCGCAAACTGCGCGTCCTTAGTCATGGCGTCACACTCGTCCAAGATGATGAGCTTGAACTTGTTAGAGAAGATGGTGCGTGTGGACGCAAAGTCTTGGATTTCGTTGCGCACCACAGCAATGCCACGGTCGTCTGCAAAGAGTGCAGTGGCAGGTGTGGGTACACAAGCAGCGGAATGGCAGGTCTAATGGCCCTTGCTCGGGTACTACTCTGTCAGTGAGCAACACACTGCCATGCTCAGAGGGGCGCCAGTGAGGTGCACCGGGCCATGCCAGTGAACTGATTTGCTGGCTCACCCATGCTGCCTCCACCCTCTCTTCACCCACCCGAGGCATTGAGCTCTAGAGTCATGTTTCCCAGCGAGCTGCCGTAAATCTCCCGCGCTATCGCCAGGATGGTGGACGTCTTGCCGGTGCCTGGCGGGCCGTAGAAGAGCAGGTGCGGCAGCTGGTTCTCATCCAGCAGCTTCCTAACTGCAACGCGGGTAGCGATTGTGGGCGAGAGTTGAAGTCAATCTGCAGTGGTCTGCTGCTTTGCAAATGCGAGCAGCAGGCCCCAACTGGCAAGCGGCCTCGGGCGAGCGGCACATGGCGGGGGCGCCAGCCAGCGGGCTGGCCCGCCAGGCCCGGCCTGCCCTTTCTTGTGTCGACACAACCCGCCCCCCGCACCACTCACTGGTGTCTATAATGTCTGTGTGGGCAGAAATCTGGTCAAGCGTGCGCGGGCGATATTTTTCAGACCAGGGAACCTCTCCGCCCAGGGCCGTCATCCTGGCGGTGTGGTCGAGGCGTGGAAACACAGCCGGGGGAAGCTGGGACAATGAGAGTTCACGCTTCAAGCGTCATCAGTTTCAAGTGATCGTGGTGCAACGGGGGCTACGCAGCTGTGTCGTGATGGGCGATCTGGGATGCCAGCCTGCTGAAATGTTCTGGCCTGCGCGAACCCTGTGCCTGCCGCGCCGGCCTCCCATCTCTGGGACCCTGCTTTCCAATGGCCCTTGCTCTCTGGCCCCCCTGGCCATGCCTGCCATACCTAATTCTACTCGCCGGCACGCTGGTCAGCCCCCTACTCAGTGTGCCGCACCAACATGGCATCAGCAAGACAGCTTGACACTGCCCTTGCCAGGCTGGACGACCTGCTGGCTGCACTCAAGAGCGGCGCACTCAACAGCAGCAGCGGCGCCAGCCAGCAGCGTGCGGTGGCACCGCCACACAGGTTGGCGGCACCGGTGCCCCCCGCCGCGTCCGCTGCGGCAGCCAGTGGCAAGCAGGCGAAGAAGCAGAAGGCAGCCAAGAACAAGCCCAGCGAGCCTGCTGCAGAACCCGCTACCGAGGGCGATGCTTTCAGCAAGGCGCACCTGGCGGTGCGCATCGTCTGCGGCATTGTCTGCGGCACCCATGGGTGTGTGTCATGCCGGAGCTGTGCAGCCTGCTGTCGTCTGTATCGGCTCCCCCGCAGATTGGACGTGTCACCTCTGTCGACAATCACCCGTCGGGGTCGGAGAAGCTTTGGTTATGCAAGATTGATGTTGGCGACGGCAAGGAGCGGCAGGTGGTAGCGGGCCTCAAGCAGCATGTCAGCCGGGAGGAGCTCACCGGGCGGCTGGTGGCGGTTGTCCTGAATCTTAAGCCAGCCAAGCTAGCAGGGGAGCTGTCAGAGGCGGTAAGTGCATCGCTTCCGAGCGTGCCTCCTTGCCTTCCCGTGGGTCCACGCCACTTTCTGCCTGTTTGCTGCTTTCTGCCAACGCTGCCTCTCCCTTGTGGGTTGCCCGGGGGTTGCCCTGCCCCCGCTGCAGATGGTCCTGGCAGCTGAACACCAACCAGTGAGCCCTGCTTGCTGCCATCGTGGTTTGGTCAGCTAGCTTGATGCCCATGGAGATTATGCCTGCTGCCTGCTGCTGTCCCCGCTTGTGCCACTCCCTCTGCTTCTTGGGGCCCATGCCGCAGGAGGGCGGCGACGTGCTCGTGCGCGTGCTTTTGGTGCCAGACGGCTGCCAGCCGGGAGATTTGGTGATGTGCGAGGGCAGCGAACCCGCCGTACCCCCCAAGGAGTGCAAGAGCAAGTTCTGGAAGGAGGTCGTTGAAGGGCTGGCGGTGCGGGGCGGCGTGGCGCGATACAAGAACAAGCCCCTGGTGACCTGGAGCGGGCCGGTGAAGGTGGCAGCAGACATGCCCGACGGCGCCGGCATCCATTGATCATTGCTGTATAAAAACAATTGCACAGCACTGCCCTGAGGCTGTCTCATCGAGGGTGGCTCCCGGTTGGTGCGTTCAAAGCATTGGAAGACGGTGGCTGGGCACTGGCGGTGGTAGCGGCCTACGCACCAGCATGCCATGATCCAGGCAGCGGGCAGCCTGCGCAAGAG